AGAACAAGACGAGATATCCCGAGACATGAGCAGTGGAACGAGATCAATCTATCTCTGTAGGTTAAATAAAGTTTTCAGGTTGAAAATCTCTCAAAGTTAAACAGATCGACAGACATCATGAAAAGGCCGTAAGGCAACACAGTCCAATGTTTGTGATAATAACAAATCTGGAGACACTATTTCGAATGGAAATAATGAAAATACAGTATTATTAATAAGAGAATTCCATTTATCTTTAATAAAATTACAATTCATACACACCGATAACATTAATTTATTGAATCGAACAACAGACGTTGTCACCATGATAGACTTAAGCTTAAATGTCATCACAGCTTTTAATTCAACTCTCCAGGTTTTTGTTGTAGCCAGGTATTGAACTCATAACTCTTTGGGTCATTCGGCTATGAAGCTATTTATTACATAAACGGAGACAGATTGAATTTGAAATAGATGTATTATTCCATTTATTGCATTTAAACAGTATGGCATTAGAAAAAATTACTGGACGATATGACATTTTTATTTTGGTATGGTAATAAACACAGATAACAATCAAGAGAATCGGATCAGGAAAATCCACATTTAATGGGGAGATTAAATTCTATTCGTTTTAATCGTATTACTCATCAATAATTTTAACAAACCAATCAATAATATATTCTTCACAACAATAAACAAAAGTTTTAGGGAAACAAGAGTAGATAGGTTGACCTATCACCCAGTTCATACATCTTGCAAGTCTTTTAAACAGGAGTAGAGGTTTATTCCTTGTTTCTTGTTTAGGATTCGGTTACCAGTTCCTTCTAATATCTAATTCCATAATATAGTTCTGAATTCTCCGACTGAACTCTGAAATGATATTCACTAATTAATTCTTGACCTCTTCAATTCTAGAATTAACTGTTATCTTTCCTTTGTAGCCCCCAAGAACTTTACTCCTTGCCCATTCTTACGCGCATACAACACTACACAATAATCATCTGCATCAAGTGGCTCTTGAGCCTTGAACTGTGTGAATATTAGTAAAAAAATGAATAAACATACAGAAACATGAACCACTACATTAAATTATTTTTAGTTACATGTTCGGTTCATGATATCCTCATCATCATTCTGTAGAACCACATTTCTGTTGCTTCAAATCTCTTCCTTATCTTTAAAGAGATACCCAGAATTCGCTGCCATACAAAAGGATAAATATCACGTAACAGTTCAGTATTCTTTGCTTTGTATCGAAAATTGTCTGTCTGTCTCTTAATACTTTACTTAGCTTTTAGAATGCATCTTTGGCCATCCCAAAGCGCTTTTGGATCTCAGTGTCACACTTTCCGTGTGATTGTCCAGCATTCGCCGCCATACAAGAGGACAGATATTACATAACAGTTCAGTAGTATTTTCTTTGTTTCTAATGAAATTTTTCTGTCTCTTAATACTCTGCTTAGCTTTTAGAATGCATCTTTGCCCCAAAAAATAGGTACTTCGTATCTCAGTGATACAATTTCCATACTTTGTTAGAACGCAGCCTAGATATTTAAATTTCTGTACCTGCTTGATTTTAGTGTTCCAGACCTGTCATTTGCCTTGTGGGCTCAACATTTTGCTGAGGACCATGGACTCTGTTTTCTTGTAGTTTATGCTTAGTCCTTTCTACTCGTTTTCTTTGCTAAATTCTGTAGGAGGCTTTGTACTTTCCTTCCCGCGTTTGCTATCAGCACTGGGTCATCTGCATATCTTATACCGTTAAGATTCAATAATAAATCATGTAGGAGTCCTAATTCTCTCAGAATTACATCGCTGTATAGGTTGAGTAAGTCCGGTGAGAAGACACATCCTTGTCTCATACGACTTTCTATTTTTGTATATCTACTAAACTCATTTTCTGACCGTATTCAGGAAATTTGTTGCTAGTATAGATTCTGAATTATTCTAGTGTCTTTCCCGAATATATCAATGTTACCGAGCAGTTGTAACAAATAACTGTGATGTGCACACAACTTAAACAAACCCAGTCGATTTTTACAATTTTTCATAGATCTTTTCTTTCAATATATGGCCTGATGATTGCGTCTAGCATAAAACAGTCTGTTGCCTCTGAATGTTGACTTAAGTGTTCACTTTTACATTTATATACGCTCTATCAAGGATACGGAGTATTTTATCCCCTAAATATAGTAAACCTTAAAACTATATTATACTATATATATATATATATATATATATATATATATTGCATAGAATGTTAATGCATAATTACCTCATTCGAATAGCTATTTCGGTCACCAAGACTTAATTATTGGCATTATCAACACAAAGGTGTAAAGAAATGAAATAATTTATATTCTCTATTATAATAAATACATTGGAATCTTTTTGAGGATCAGTCTTAATATTTTACATAATTAGGATTCACTTGGATTATATACCAAGTGATTATATATATATATATATATATATATATATATAGATAGATAGATAGATAGATAGATAGATAGATAGATATACATAAAGGAAGAGATTATAGAAGTTCCAACGAGAAAAGAGTGTATATTAAAAGAAGAGAGAAACCGGAAACGTTTTTTGGCTGTAATGTGGATTTTTTAAAAAATATTATGCTTTATATATATATATATATATATATATATATATATATATATATATATATATATATATATATATACTGGCAGCATGGCTTGGCGTTGCCCGTGCTTGATTCAAAAAACCGAATGAAAAAGAATGTTAAAACAAATACATTTTCACATTCAACCCAGTTCTGCGGAATCAGACTCAACGTTGAGTTTAAGCAAGCGAATGAGCCAATTAAAGTAAAGTGCCATGCAGATTTAATTTTTCCCACTTATGACGAATGCAGCTATCGATTTTTTTTTTTTTTTGCATGGTAGCATGCTAGTTAACATTCGTGTCAGTCAGCTTTTGGCTCTCAGGCTGGCCAGTAGAATCTTCCTGCCTATTCGTGGCAGCCAGCTATAGGCTCTCTCTCTGGCCAGTAGAAAATGGTCGCAAACTACATGAAGCATGAAAAAATCGATTATTTTCACTATCGATGGGAGTTGGGAAATGCAAAGTCGGTCTTGGCCTTCCTGCTAACTTGGAGCATGTGCATGTAAATTTTGGTGCAAATCCGTCGAAAATTGCGGCCATGCATTCGTCACACACACACACCCTGCCTTATATATATATATATATATATATATATATATATATATATATATGATTTAAAAAGCAGTGTGATGCAAGCCCATTTAATTCATGGACGAATGGAAGACTTATGAAAGTGTCAAGGTCAAACCTTGTATTAATACAATAACAAGTCTATTATTCCACGTTAACTAATTTTTATGATATAACTTTTAAAAGAATAACAACTAAATTTAACAGATATCTATATCTATATATATATATATATATATATATATATATATATATATAAGATCTAAAAATTTCAATTTGTATGAAACAAAACAAATTCTGATTCTTCTGTTTACCTCTTATCTAGTCTCGGACTGGCGCCAGTAAGAAATCTTTATACATACATATATATATATATATATATATATATATATATATATATATATATATATATATATATATATATGGTGAACCGATACATGATTTTAATATATATCACAAACAATTATGAAGGAAAAAAGTATGACAAAAGTGCAGAGACTTTTTGCATTTTCTTCCTTTAGGACTTCCTCAGACTAAAGTGATGTTTCCGTTGATGTAACTACGGATGCACAAGAAGAAAAGGAAACGCTAAGAATTTTAAATTTAAATGTTGTTCTTTTTTTATTTGTCTTGATTCTTTAAATATATATTTTGGGTCATCTATCCTCTGTCCGATTTCATTTAGATTATTTTTATCTTTTTGGTTATGATTCCATCACTGTGGTTATTACTTTTCTTTCAATGTTTCAAAATTCTTGACAGATCTTCAATTATCAGAATCTGGGATATTCAGTAACGAAAGAGATGGAAGCGTAAATAGAAAGAAAGAATTTCTTAATGTAGTCGCCTCGATTATAAAGCCAAAATATACATTTTACAATCTAAACAAAAAAAGGATATATAAATTTACAATTCTCTAGGTCTAGATTCCTATGCGCGCATGCGCAATGGCACAATCACCGGCACCACTTTAGTCCGATGGAGGCCGAAATGGGCTGCACGAAGTAATCTTTTCCACTTTGTAATACTTGTCCTCTCTAAAATATTATATATATATATGTAGATAGATACATAGATATGATATGATATGACGCCAGTTCATCGGAGAAACATGCCATAGTAAAAGGATATAATCTCTCTCTCTCTCTCTCTCTCTCTCTATATATATATATATATATATATATATATATATATATATATATATTATGCCAGTTGATCAAAGAATACACACAAACACACACACACATACATACACACACACACACACACACACACATATATATATATATATATATATATATATATATATAGTTCTTATCTACTGTCTGGTGATTGTTAATCGAACAAGAAAAGAGAAGTTACAATCAACTCTTACGAGAGATCGTCATTTATTTCATCTTTTCATATAAACTATATATATATATATATATATATATATATATATATATATATATATACATGTGTGTGTCTGTGTGAAAATAGCATCATATATTATATGTAGCATCATTTCCATATTTATGTATGCATATATATATATATATATATATATATATATATATATACATGTGTGTCTGTGTGTGAAAATAGCATCATATATTATATGTAGCATCATTTCCATATTTATGTATGCATATATATATATATATATATATAAGTACGAAATTTCTTATATGTATGATCGGAAAGGATTTAGGTAAGTAAAGATTGGTAGGTAGGAGAGATGGAGATGGGCAAAGACAGATCAGTTCATCGAGAACTGGGCAGATAAATAGAATATCTTAGTCCAATCTTCATTGGTTCCTGATGAAATGGAGGGCGTATCGCGTTTTCTTCTCTCCTTCTTTTCCTTTTTCCCTTCTTCCTTTCTTCACGGTTTCGTTGCCTGCTTAAACCTAGCTCGTGTAATGGACACGGTTGGCTCAGTGTCCTCGTATCAGCCAATGGCAGTCGCGATGTCGGATTTGAAATCGAGGCGTTTGATCTCTTATCTCTACATCAAATGGTACTCAGATGAGCTGGGGAAAGGGGTCGAAGTATTCGGGTTGGTTCCATGGCTTTCAGGAAGGAAGGAAAAAAATGACATCTGGCATTGTCACATTGAAACGAAAGGATCGAAACGAAAAGCCGGCTTACATATATCCGCGCATTTGATACATATATATATATATATATATATATATATATATATATATATATATATATATATATATATATATGTGCAGACATATGTGCATTTCTCATGAGAATGAAAAAGATACAGATACACTGCCTCACCCAGACAATATCTAACATCCTGCTTATGTGTGTCCTATTTGTACGTATATATTTCAACTTCTACTTTACTATGTATTTGTTAATCTCCAGCAGTATATATATATATATATATATATATATATATATATATATATATATATATATGTGTGTGTGTGTGTGTGTGTGTGTGTGTGTGTGTGTGTGTGCGTGCGCGCGCACGTACGTATATGCGTCTGTATGAAACCGATGGTAGAAAAAATTAATACCTACTCTCTCGGACAGGCATATTTTGTCTCTTTTAAATTTTTTATATCAATATCGAATCTATTTTCTTCTTTTTATATATAACTCTTTCCATCAGCAAAGAAAAATCACACGCATACCGCACAAACACAAAGAGGGGCATAAATGCACACACACACACACACACACACACACACACACACACACACACATATATATATATATATATATATATATATATATATATATATATATATAATCATAAACTCTATATATGTATATATTTGATATTGAACAGTTTTATTAAGAATAACAATATTCATATTTGATCAAATTATATTTACTTGTGTAGAAATTAAATATTACTAATTGCTTCCTCTTTTCCTCTGATGGCTGTTTTTGATAGTTGGGCAAAAAGTATATTTAAAAAAAATATTCTGTTTTGTTTATCATTACCATATTTGATCTGTAATTCATCCCAATTCATATCTATCTATCTATCTATCTATCTATCTATCTATCTATATATATATATATATATATATATATATGCAGTAATATAGTTTTGAAGTGTCCTATATTTATGGGATAAAGTGCTCAATATCAGAAATAGAGTATATGTAAGTGTAAAAATATATATGCCTCACAATTGCGTCTAGCATGAAACAGCCTGTCGTCTCTGAGTGTTGACTTAATGTTCATTTTTATATACATATATATATATATATATATATATATATATGTGTGTGTGTGTGTGTGTGCGCGCGCGTGTGTGTGTATCTGTATATAAATATGTTAGCATGTGTGTGTGAATCTGATAAAGCACATTGCACATTTTAATTTTTATTTGAATGTTCAGGCCGATAGAAGTAATATACACTGTTTCAAATATAGAAAAATCTTGGCATCACATATGTGTATCCCCCCAAAATTCACTTGAGACAATATATATATATATATATATATATATATATATATATATATATATATATATATATCGACTCGCCTAATAAGTTTTCCTGAACTTTCAAGCGGGTAGAGGAAACAATTATATATCGTTTAACTTGATAAATATCTGCATTATTAAAAAAAAATCAATTCTAAAATTCTCTTTGTTTAGGTTTTAACATGAAACTGTGCAGATCTGAAAAACTTCGATTGATTTATGACAGTAGAATTCTCGGATTAAATCACGAAATTTCACATTGCCTGCTCGTGGCCAAGACGGTAAGGCGTGCCGGGCTAAATGGTAGCTCCTTATTCTATGAGGGCACCTTCCTTTAATACGATTTCTTTCACATTCAGGCCGGTTGACGAAAATAAATTAAATATAGTGTTTAATAGGTTAACGAAGCGACTACTCTCTCTCTCTCTCTCTATATATATATATATATATATAATTAAATGGATTAATATATTTTCTGTTTATGTTATGATTAGATACAATTTATTGAAGTAAATACTCTGTTAACTTTTAATTAAACAGTATTAATTACATTTACCGGCCTGAATTTTCGAGAAATTTCGAAGAAAATATGCGTTCTCCGACAGGAATCGAACCTGTATTCTTATACGGAAGCCCCTGGTTAAAAAAGCCGTAATTTGGACTTTGTTAAACAGACGCTTTTCTGTCTTAAATGATATATTACGTCACGTCAAATGATGATATCTGTATAGGAATATAGATTCAATTCTTTTCGGAGAACGAATATTTTCTACGAAATTTCTTGAACAGTCAGGCCTGTAAATGTAATTAATACTGTTTAATTTAAAAAAAAATAAAATAAAATTTAATTTACTTAATTAAATTGTATCTAATAACAACCTATAAACAGAATATATAATTATATATAATTTTCTTATAGACACAAATATTTTACTCACTACAAATTTGCAACTTCGTTTCAGTGCATTTACTATCGTTAGTAAATTGTTTTTGTCTATATGAAAAAATTATAATAAATACTTATTGCTCTACTATCAGTATTGAACCCTCTTTTGAATTAATGCTGTAAACGTTAGAATTTATATAGTATTTTTGTTCTCATACGCATACACACACACACACACATATATATATAATTATTTATTTAAAAATATGATTCCAACACGCTACATAAGAGGTCTCATGTTTCAAAACAAGAGCCGAAAACTTCAATATAATTATTTGAATTAGAGTAAGCTCTGTTCCATCTTCAAGCGAATTTTTTTGGGGAATAACTTATTTTTGAAATTTACGTGTTTTAATAGCATATTCATTATTGAAATCAAAATTTCCATGATAACGGCTAGAGTGATTGTTTAAATAAACAGGGTGTAGGTTTTAATAATTTGTATCAGTATAGAGTTACATTCACAGATGTCAAGTCAGAGTAAGGTGGGGGTGTCTAAATTTAAAACGGAAGATGATTTAGCCAAGTCAGGTTTACATGTCTATGGAGATTTATTTGTTTTTTTATTTTATTTTTTTCTGAAAGGGTTTTGTGTATATAAAAACTGCCGCAACATTTGTTTTTTGACGACTTCATAAAGGGTTATCTTTTTTTGTAGGTATTTAAGCTATTTATTAGGGCTATGGATTATACAATTATTTTATTGTTAGTTTGTTTTTATGCTAATTATTCAATCCAAAAATTTGATGATGTCGGCAAAAAACCGTTAACTCATGTCTATTGTTTAATAAATTTTTATTATTTAGAAACTTAATAATGTGTAGTTTTTCATGTAGGCATAAAGGGCATGGGTCATCCCAAGTTCTAGTTTTGTTTATAATTTTCCATTTTACTTTTAGCTGTTTTATTCATTTCCTTCAAATATATATATATATATATATATATATATATATATATATATATATATATATATAAAGTGAACATAGAAGTCAACACTTAGAGGCGACAGTCTGACGATTGCATATAGCATGAAACAGACTGTCGCCTGTAAGTGTTGACTTCTATGTTCACTTTTATATTTACACACGCTCTATATCTGATATTAGCACTTTATCCCATAAATATAGCACACCTTAAGACTATATTTCTTTTATATATATATATATATATATATATATATATATATATATATATATATATATATATATATATATAGGCTTTATAGGTATGTGTGTAATTTAAGCATGTAGACAAAGATGCTAATTTAATCTACTGAAATTTTCGTGCTGAGGTTATCTTCATCAAGCAATGCTAAAACGCTGTGCTTCGCTTTTGTTGTTTTAAGAATTCTTTTGATTATTAATGTTTGGTGGTAAATATTTTGTAGGCTACCGAACCTTAATGTTACGTGACATGCGCACAAATTTTAGAATTCTCATTTTTCTTGATGACTTAACGAAAGTAGTTACACGACAGTTCCCAATCTAAAATAATGCCTCGATTGTGGAAGAAATTTGTTTAAAGTGGATATATGGTCAAGATGAAGAACATATGACTGTGCTGACCTCATGGATTTACCGCTGGTGATGCACAGCAGTTTCTGTGCGTCTTTGATGGTCCTAAAGGCCTTCAGCTCCGAGTCAATACCATGTCATTCACCCTCTTTCTGCATAGCCTCAAGTGAAATTCCCAATGGTTACACAAGTCAGGTAAGCTCTGAATCGATGGAGTAACGGTATGCGTTCTGGAAGGTTTCAGCTCCCTTTCACATAACTATCATGCCCCAAGAGTTACTTGCCAAGACTTCTCACGTTCAAAAAAACGTGGTTTGCAAGTTATACGCATTTGAATTTCCTTGGCTATTACGCCTGGGGCTTCGACAAGAGAAATATCAGGCCACAAATACCAACGGTTCGTTAAAGCTTAAGATAGAGGAGCCATATAGTTAGGTCATGCAGTTTCATCCAGGGATACATCCTGGCCGCAATGACGTTTGTTTCATTGAATAACATGTTTGTTTTTTTGTTTTGTTTTTCCCATAAAAAATGCGAGCAGATTGTAAAATATACTGAACTTATCTATTAAATATATTTGCTTTTATTTATAAAATGTACTCAGTTACATGACACGCCCTATAACAAACATCTATACATCCTTGCATATATATGTATGTATATGTATGTGTGTGTGTTATATGCATATATGTGAGCTAAATGACACAGAAATATAACAAGGACACACCCAAACAGTTCTATAATAAATTATAGAATCTCATGTTGAGCTTCAGTGTCGAATATACGTTATTTTCTATTCTCGGGCAAAAAGTTACTTCAAGACAAAAATTGATTCTGTCTCTCTGAACAAAGACTTTTTATCCATAACAGTCTCACATACAGTTATACTATAATATTTAATCTATATTATACTAATATAATATATGTTTGTTGAATAAACACAAGTGCATCTGAGCAAGCATCTGCAATAGGGATTTTCTAGCAACCCTAGTGGACGGGTATCCTCGAATTCAAGTGGTCTGCTATTCGCTTGAAGTTGAAACAGAACTAATGCTTTTAATTTAATTATATAATTAAATTTGAAGTTTTTAGCTTCGGTTTTTAAAACATGGTAATTCCTGTGTAGCGAAGAAACCATATTTTAAATCAGTTAATTCATAATATTTATGCTCTGTAAATTTACATCGAGCACTGCTTTGTAAAATAAAAATATCAATAGGAACACCGGATTATATATCTTACTGTTCTTTGTTTCTACTACAATATATATATATATATGAATAAAAATGACAATAGGAAAACTAGTAATTGCTGACACGTTTCGTCCAATGTGGACTTTATCAAAGCAAAATACGAAATTAAATTAATTGAACAAGGTAACTAATAAAAACAAAAAACAGAATGTTCCTAGCAACTGAGATGTAGAGAAACGCTATTTTCATATTATTAACTGAAAATAACGTTAGTATTTGTCACGTGTGGAGAATATTGTCATTATATCTGTGTTATTATTATTATTAATATTATTATTATTATTATAAAAAGGATGAACCGATTTCATTACGCAATTTTTAATAAGGAAAAGCAACAGAAAACTCCAGCTAAGTTACAATCAAATTTTATTTCTTGTCTTACAAGTGTTCAATGTGGCCACCACCTGCAGCACGGGCAACATCAATACGATAAGAAAATTCCTTCCAGACGAGTATCAGCACATCACGATGCACTGAGTTGAACGCTGTTGTTATTCGATGTTTAAGGTCATCGAGGTTAGTGGGTAGAGGTGGAACATAAACACGATCTTTTACGTATCCTCAAGAGAAAAAAATCACACGCGGTAAGGTCTGGGGTTCTCGCAGGCCAAGCACAAAGAGTAAGGTCTTAGTAAGTGAATGAACGAGGAGTAGTTTGCAAGGTTTCAAATGTAGACGTCTTTTTCGCACACGCCTGATAGTGGATTGAGAGATCGCAAGCTGACGGCTAGTTTGATTTGTAGACTTTCGTGGAATCCCCTCAAACGCAGAACGAATTCTCGTCACTTGTTCCTCCGAAATTCGTAGTCGCCCTGAACTTTTCCCTTTACACAGACACCACCCTTCTTGAAAATGTTTAAACCACGATCGAATGTTCTTAGGAGAGGAGAGATTAATGTCGAATTGTCTTCGAAAAGCGAATTTGTCTGCGCGAAATTGACAACACCTTTTGAAGAGGACTCGCTATTCCGGAAGTAAACAAACGATTGAAGGTTGCCGGAGATAGGACCCGACTACAGCGCTCATGTGGCATCCAGTCAAAACTTAGAGAACCCCTCTTTCAAATAGTCACTGACTCATTCCATGACGATACTTGAGAAATGAGGCAATGATATCATGAAATCAGTTCATTTATTTTGAATAACACTGTACATACATATATTTTTTTATATATATATTGTGGGGACCTACCTACAAATGGACTCTTCCACACCTATATAATATGGCTACCAACTCTGAGTAAAGGGAGTCACCACGTGAGGGTCACGGAGTAGTAGCCATAGAGTGAGTGAATGAGTGAGTCAGGACACCAATGAGAGAAAGTATTTACCTTTGTCCTACGTTTCCGAGAATATACTATTTAACCTTATATCCGAGTCCGTGTTATCAATATATATATATATATATATATATATATATATATATATATATATATATATATACACATACACATACACACACACACTCACACACACACACACACACGCACGCATATATATATATATATATATATATATATATATATATATATATATATATATATATATTGTTAATATAACAGAACGAATGTCTCTTATGTTTGATCATGAGCCGGTTATCGTCGCATAGCAAAGTGATGGTGAATATCAATGTTGTAATGTCCATATAACCACTCTGATGATGGATCATGTGAGCCGAAAGCTTAGATCGAGGGACAGCATAATAAAAAATATCCAAAATGGGGACAGTTTTTTGTCTTTGTTTCTCTAGAAACTTAAGCCACTATACGAAGCTTAGAACGGCTCATGATGAAACATAATCGACATTCGTTGTTTATTATATTTAAAAGTATGAATCTGAATATATATATATATATATATATATATATATATATATATATATATATCAGAAAATTCATATCTATCTATTTTTTAATCATTCACCCCAAGCAAGGCAGTAGTGCCACTATCTCAGTCTGTTCATATCTATCTATCTATCTATCTATATCTATCTATCTATCTATCTATCTTTTCCAGTTTGTTTATTTCTATCTATCTATATATCTATCTATCTATCTATCTATCTATCTATCTATCTATCTGTCTGTCTGTTTGTCTACGGGTACTCACAGGATGTCTTTCTAATTTTCCTTCCCATTTTTATCTTACCATCTTTTTTTCTTTCCAAAACGTTTCGCATTTGATTAACCAAACAGTCTAACTTACTTTTCCAAATGCATTCTAATTGTCAGACCATCTTTCTAATTGTCGATCACAATCGAAACTATCATTTTACTAAATTGCCTTTCCACCACGCTTTTCCCGCCATTATTTGCTCGCTTTGTCGATTTGAACAATCCTTTAATTACGGTCGCTGCAGTCATTAATGTTTGTCTCTACTAATCAGACTATCAATTCCCCGCTTTCGCATTTCGTTCAATGGTTGCAGCATCGGACAATATACCGAGAGTCCTCAAAATTTAATCAAGATGTAAGAATAACGAACATTGCTAAATTTCTTCTAACTTATTTATTTCACTTGGACCATTGCGATTTGATAGAATGAATAAATTCTGCTGTGAAATCAGACCAAATCCAAACGCTATATGTTCCATCTCTATTGATGTTTTTCAAATAAAAATTACTAAATTTATCTGGAGGAAGAGTTGTCAGTACCTGAGCGTTTTTTACATACAACCAGTGCAGACATAGCAGTCAAGACTGGATTTTATCTCTCAATTTAAGTCTTCTGTGGGATCTTCATAAAATGTGTCACCACCCCATTAGGGGCTTTATATATATATATATATATATATATATATATATATATATATATATATATATATATATATATATAAGAACAGCAAGATACATAATCCGGTGTTCTTATTATTTATTTTAATTTTGCAAAAAAGGGCTCAATGCAAATCTGCAGAGCATAAATAATAATAATAATATATATATATATATATATATATATATATATATATATATATATATATATATACATCATGGGTTATGTCGATACGTAACTGAAAAATTCATGGATTCGTGTTTGGGTGTGGGTGAAGGAAACCAGCCATACCCATTTTCTCATGCTTAAGGGTAATTTTGAGGTTTATTTATGGTCATGACATGTATAGCTAATTTATGCTGGTTGGGTGATTGGAGAAAGTATGCATGTAAATAGACTAAGGTTGTTTATAATCATAATCTCACGATTATATATATATATATATAAATATATATATATAATATATATATATATATATATATATATATATATATATATATATATATATATATATATATATATATATATATATATATATATATCTGATAGAATAAATTACAGATATGTCTGCTAATTTATAATAAAATTCATTCATACTCACGAATAACCTTCCGTGTATTCATGTTAAAGGATGAGAGAAATGTGCTATAGCCGTTTAAATTTCCAAAGTACATTCGGTCTTCTTTCAAGATCATCTTCAGAGGTGCAAGTTGTACAAAACTATATGCATTTATGCCTTGTCATCCATTACCGTCATTATGCTTTTAAATTCAAAACGGCTGACAATGTGCTGAGCGTTCATTAGAACGTGAAAATATTATCCATTATGGTTATAATGTAATGGTCACGTGCGCATTAAATCATGAAAAAACTGTTCCTTTACAGGCATTTCAGAACATTACTGCAGTATTCCTTGTTGATTCTGTTTAGTACCGGCTTTAATTTTTTAATATAGATTGCTTCTAGTATCTGTAATCTAAATATGTTGTTTTCATGGTGTAGGATATTTGTGTTGGCGATTAGTAAGTTTTTATATTGTGAATGTGGACAGGAATGTTGTAGTTATCTCGCGATGGACGAATAGGCAGACATGTGGAGTGTAAGTCTTCTTGTGAGTGTACCTGTCGTATATCCAACATATATATCAATACACGGAAGGCTATTCGTGCGTATAAACGGATTTTGGAAAAAATTAGCAGACATAATATCTGTAATTTATTGTCAGACATGTAAAAAAGAGAATTTGATGCCTAAATAATATATATATATATATATATATATATATATATATATATATATATATATATATATAATTAATGAAAAACAGACCACTTTAAGATACCATTACAATAATTTATTTCACCAAAATCCTTTTTAAAGGACTCCGGATCATCAGGTAACAATTCCAACAACGAAATGAAAGGAAAAATGATTGAGGTAATGATTGAGAAATGTATGTATATATAATTTATGTATGAAGATGGATGAACATTTGTGTATATTGTTGCACGTGTGTCTATGTGTGTATTTGCACATGTAAATAGACGTATGTATATATGGATTTGCATGAATATGTTTGTGAGATACATATAAGAAGAAAACAAAATCTTTAATATTACCCTCAAATATTATTAAATAATGAAATCTAAACCTTATTAAGTTTACCCATATAATAATAAAGAAAAATTACATTCATAAATTAGATTTAAAGTAAAACTAATATAGATGTTGTTGTTACCGAAATTCTTTTACAATATTATGAAAGTACAATTGGTCGGGTAAATAAACTATTATAATTTTAAGTATTTCTTTAATATGTTCTCGATAAATGTGCTAATAAAAATAGTAGTTAACTTATATTAAGTCCCTAAACTATTTACTTAAAAAAATTAAATGTTTAAATTGATAACATTCATCATTTTTTTAGACATCTAAATTTCTATCAAGCACTGAAATCTATCTTTTACATAATTTTGTTAAAACAAAATTACAGCCTCTTTCGATTCATTTCCCTCCCCCTCTCTTTGCCGTAACACTCATTTAGATATATCTGTATTACTATCGTCTGTCTCCTCTCTCCTTTCCATTTTTCCTTTTCTTTTCCCCCCACTACCCTCCAATTCCTATATATCATTTCCGTTAAGTTAACCATCTAAATAGGTCAAGGTTCGGTCACTCCTCCTACCCCAATGTAAAGCATGCTTAAGAAAGATATGAAATTGACCCCACCCTATACTCTAACTTGTCTCTTTAACTACAACTCTCACCCTCCCTGTTAAATTACAGAAATTACACTACCCATCAATTTCTAATCCCATTTTTCCTTTCATTTCGTTTTGGAAGTGTTACCTGATGATCCGGAGTCCTTCAAAAAGGATTTTGTTGAAATAAATTATTGTAATTGTACCTTAAAGTGGTCTGTTTTTCATTAAATATTAGCTCTGTATTCACATTGAGCTCTCAGGATTTCATCCTCCTTGGAATTACCCATTTGGTTTACCAAGTTCTTCGTAACTTAATATATATATATATATATATATATATATATATATATATATATATATATATATATGCACCACTTGAATGAAATAGCTAAACCACATGTCCCATCTTTTATAAAAGTTCAGGGAATACATGTGTGTCTATAGAAGTTGAGTGTCTGTTTATTTTACTGCGCCCTCAGTTGTCGTCTGTGATGGAGCGTTCACCAAAACACACATACACACGCATATATATATATATATATATATATATATATATATATATATATATATATATATATATATGGGGTGTGTTATTTATTTATTTATTACTGAACTCATTTATATTTTATTTCGTTTAATTTTATATTTCAAGTAATGAGTATTAAGTTCTGCTTCTGGGATTTTATTTAGTCTTTTTGGCCATTATATATATGTAGGTAGAGTAGAAGGAATTTGTTTTCATGTCAGTGCTAGGAAATTTGCAGTGGTTCAACTATATTTCTGTGTGAATCTGGTCTCAGAACACATCTATTAGCAACAATAATATACAAGCAGCTCATCCCGAAATATGAAGACGGTCATATAAAACAAATGATGCAAGCATTAACTTGAGACAATACGAAAAATAAATATCAAAACATCCCGCGCCTATAAAGTTCAGATTATTGTACCTTTCAAGAAAGATAATCGCGATTGGTAGTTTTAAATCATCATACAATAAATGTGGAACGAAATTAATCGACTCCCACTAATTATTTACAGATTATAATTCCACGTGTTGTTTAGTCTGCCCTTTAGTTTGGACGTACGTTACCCACTGCCAGCACCTCGTAAATAATGGAATATTTTTAAATCATTTCACTCCAAGCAAGGCAATGAAGTCACTAAGACGCAAGGGGCTTACTGAATGTGAAAGAATATAAGAAAAAAATAAATTGTTATTAGAGCGAGAGATCAATAAAAGAACTGTCATTAAGAAGACATATAATAACGATCGTAATTGCATTTACATTTCTGAAGATCAAAGTTGACTGGAAAACAAAAGGTTTGAAGTGTGATCCACAAGCAAGAAGTGTGAGAGAAGAAACTGTTAACATAAACCTTACGGTTACATAAAATTTTCTAGCATTTTGTTATTCTCTTGCAAGACATTGTTTTGGTATATAGAAAAATGCATATAATATTCTCTTATATACAACTTAGTATATAGTAAATTTTGTTTTCATCTTTGTTCGATGAAAAAACTATTCCCCTCCCAAAAGAGAACAAAACTTAAATTCTGATGTGTTCTCTTTGAAGTTAATAATTATTTCCAGTTTTCAATCATTTCACACAAAGGAGGGCAATAAAGCCACTAAGACACAATGAGTTACGGTGTGTGAAATAAGAAAGAAAGAAAGAAAGAAAGAAAGAAAGAGATAGGATATGATAACGCTTTCATGCTTTTAACGTCTGCTTCTGTTTTTAGTCATTTTATTCCAAACAAGGCAATAAAGCCACTAAGATGCAAGAGGTTACTGAGTGTGAAAGCATATGAGAAAAAGAAAATGATTATTAAGGAGAGGGGGCAATAAAAGAAGAGGCAGTAAGAAGACAGAAGGTAACGATCGATATTGCCTTTACAATTTTGATTTCGATCAAAGTTGATTGTAAAGTAAGATGCCGGAAGTGAGTTCTACGAGAAGTGGCGAGCTAAATTCAAGGAGGGAAAGTGAGATATATGGCAAAGAGTTATCACGGGCAATGCAGAAGCCTAATTTCAGAAATGACATGACATTCGCTACTTAAAAAAATTGTAAAAAAAAAAAAAATACAATAAAATAATCACACATATTTTACATGGATAAAGCCCTTTGTAAGGTGTGAGCTGTACTTGTGAGAACAAATTTTTTTTTTGTATTTCTTTAAGGCATGGGCGTCCAGGAATCACTTCAATGAGTCTCTCGGAACTTTTTACAATCAAACCGTGGGCTCCAAACACAACTGGAATTATTGATATATTCCTGTGCCATATTTTTGAGATTTCCACTTCAAGAAGTTGTATTTTGATAGTTTATTGAAGATCTTCAAATATACATTATTATTATTATTATTATTATTATTATTATTATTATTATTATTTCCTTGGATTTCTGTTGTATACTCATTTCCTTCCGGGTCCCAACCAGAGACCTAACATAAGAAATGGCTTCATGATATTTAACTGATCATTTCATTTTACATAGATAAAAACCTTCGTAATGTGTGAGCTGTACTTATGAGTACATGTTTTGTATTTCTTTAAGGCATGTCCTGCCAAGAATCCATTCATTGAGGCTCTCGTGAACTTTTACAATCAGTCGGGGGTGGGGGTGCCTCCAAAAAACTGGAATTATTGATGTTTTCATATGCCACATTTTTGAGTTTTTCTCGTCAAGATCTTTGTATTTTGATTGTTTATTATTATTATTATTTTGATACTTTATTAACAAAAATCAAAGAAAATAATAATAATAATAATAATAATAATATTCTTGATATTGAAATTGAAAAATTATGGCATCTTATAAATGATATTTTCTTGTAATATTTGGAGCCCTATTTTGAAGCAAGTTACAGGTAAGCCTATTACCAAATTATGTGGTGCTCCCTATTTATAAGAAAATCAAGAAATTGCTTTTTCAGTTGTAGAGCTCTATGATTTCGATCATTTTCGTTTATGATCGATTTCATCACGATTCCTCTTTTAAGCTTGGAGAGTAACTATATATTCTTATTGCTCAAAGTAGTGTTATAAAAACCGCGGAAAATTCCAGTAAGATATCTTTAATTATTTCTAAGATATCACGCTTTAAAGCTTGATCTAACAATTGGACATTTTTTCTGTTACACGATTCGTAGAATTTTGCTATTTCGCCCGATATATATATATATATATATATATATATAGATAGATAGATAGATATATATATAAGTGCGCAGGTATGCAGAAAATAAAAAAGAACACGTTGGGTGCATAATCCGGAGTTCCTTAGTATTTTTTGTTTTTATTTTTAAGAAGACAGTGCTCCATACAGAAGTAGAGCTTTTTATAATAATATTTTTGTTTAAAAATATGATTCCTTCGTTTCAAAAGGTTCTCATGTTTAAAAACGAGCCGAACCATCCAAATAATTATTAAAATTAAGTTGAATTGAGGTGTTTAAAATTTCGCTTGAAAATGAAACGGGACTAAACACCACAATTCAACTTAATTTTAATGATTATTTGGATGGCTTCTGGCTCGTTTTTTGAAACATGAGAACTCTTATGTAGCGAAGGAATCATATTTTTAAACAAAAAACATTATTATATATATATAGATAGATAGATAGATATGTATATATATATATATAGAGAGAGAGAGAGAGAGAATGAGATAGATAGATAGATAGATAGATAGATAGATAGATAGATAGAAAAGCATTTTTTCCTATTGTTTTTTAGTTTTTTTTTTTTTTGTCATATGAAGCTATATTTTACCGGCTGACTTTCGAACTTTGGAATAGACCCTCCGTAACCCTCAGAGAATACTGTTTCACCTGGCCCTCTATTTGTTCTCTCTACTTTTTTTCCCTTACTCATTTGATATTTTCTTGTGTGTGTCTCTCTCTTCAGTCAGTCAATTCATTTATTACCCTTTCTTCCTCATTCTATTTCCCTCTCATTCTTCGTTCCAGTCTTTCTATTTCCCTCTTTTTATTTCCTTTGTTCGTTCGTCTTTCAATACATTTACTATCGACGTCTCTTTGGACTCGTCACACCTTCATTAATCCGACCAGAAACAGTAGACTTCAAGCGCTCACATCAAACTAGACGTCTGTCTGCCTCACCTTCTCCCGTTCCAATAAGTGGGATGCCTGGATCGGCATCAGTGGCAGAATGAAACCGTGATTGGTTACGTTTGCAGAAGACCAAACAGAATTGCCGATCAACTGACAAACGCACCGTTGATGACGGTTTGTCTAAAGTTGGGAGACAATATGGAACATCGATCGGTCAGCTTCACGGCGGTTGGGAATGAAATGTCGTGGGGGCAGAGAAAGGGACTTCGTCATTTTACGAAGTTAATAGCACCTCCAGAAGAACGCAATATCCATTAGCATGTCGCCCAAGTTTCAGTGTTGAACTAGATGCAATTTAGAAAATGGCGGACCTGACATTCAATTAATGTTTGGCGCGTTTTGAGACATGTAACCTCTGAATCAAATGCAGTTGGACAGTGCTTTGTCAGTGCCTTTGGTTGAATTAGTAATAATATTATTGCCAAAGTTATTATTATTAAGTTCTAAGTAGTAATATGCTAGCTGTATCAATTAAAGCTAACACACCCAAGTAAAAACTTACTAATTTTTTGTAGAATTCTTAGTTGCTTGAGATTGTGGATTTACAAATTCATGCTGACGTGCCTGAGGGAAGCCAAAACTCTGCTCCAGAGACTAGTGGATTTGTTTTTCTTCCATGTTGGTTTAATCATTCCACCCCAGTCAATCGAATAAGGCTACGTTGTTTTTTTTACATAGATATTCATCCTGTACAAAGTAAGGTATTACATAGTAAGTGGAACAGTTTGTTCGAATATGTGGAGAACATGACGCTCAACCGGGGAGGCATCTTCTTGGGAGTTGATTTCACAAAACAACGCTTCTTTGGATGGAACTGCTCGACTGAATCTTTCACTAATGGATTACGAAAGCAATGAGAATGGTTCGATACAAAGGCGGTGGCATAGTGGATCATAACTATAAAGGCGAAAACAAGTGTAACAAACGAATACAGTTCCTCTGAACACTTTACAGAATCCTCGGACATGTTTTTCTTTTTGTGCTAACATGAAATTGAGAAAGATTATTTTTAATCCATTGCTAAATTTTCAGCTAAATAAGTTGGTTGACAATGTTAGATAAACACGCCAGAATCTTTCTTAATTATTTATATGTCTACCATTTGTCCTTGCTTTGAATATCGCTACGACATCTAGTCTGATGCTCTTCCTAAATATTTAGAGATTCATGATAAAATCCAAAGAACCTGCAACGTCATTATTCCTGACCTGGCATCTCGGCTTCAATCCCTTTCCCAACGCCGTAACGTAACTTATGTGGGTTTCTATAAATACTTTCATGGTAATTTTTCTGATGAAGATTCCTCCATGGTACATAGACTTTATGAATTTAAGCACACTATTTGATTAGCGGTAAAGTTTCATCATTTTACAGCTGAAAGGCTAAATGTAGCCGTAAGTTCTATGCTAACAGTTTCTTCTGTCGCAATTCTCGCTTGTGTAAGTCTCATCCAGCTTCTTGCTTCCCAGTCAACTTTGATCTTTAATTTAAATTCAATGTCAATCTTTATTTGCTGCTATTCGGATCGCTCTTCTATTTTTCTCGCTCCTTAGCAATGTTTCTGTTTTCTAATTCAGTAACCCCGTCTGTCTTAATGATTTTATGTTTTCCTTGGGGTTGAATTCGATTAAAAAAATGAATCTAGCGAAACTAGCTTTCTAATAGTGACACAACGTGGAAGTATCCAATGATTTTCTAAGTGTAGCTTAGATGCAGGACAGGGCCGAAAGTGGGAAACACCCAATGAGGATCGAACACTCTACTCAGTCGTAACTAATCTATCTAGACAAGCTTGCTTAACATTACACCACGGCGAAGTGCACAATCGTACAGAAATGTATAAGATAAAAACAAATCACAATATAAAAATAAATTATTGATTCAATTTAAAAATTAGCAATATTTGCGAAATTAATTTTGTCACATGTTATGGCGATGTGGCTGCAATTACAAAACAAAATTCATCACATTTGTAGCAGGTAACAAAGCTGCTTATTTGTTATGAAGCATCCAATTGATAGAAAATGACACTCACATACATACACACACACACACACACACACATATGCATATCAAATATGTGGTGCAGTTCAATTTATATTACATTACAATGAATCATTCATACAAAAAGAAAATTAGTAAAGTTAATGATATAAAATGGCGAAATCCCTTCACTAACAAAATTTTAAAAATGCATTAACCTACTAATCACTCGATGAATGTTATGATCCTTGTCTTTTCAAAATTATATGCTGTATAAGGTCTTTCTTAAATACATAAGTACTTTCGACTGTACATTCAGTCATCCTAAGGCATGGAAATTATTTGTTTTTGCGTAAAATTTAGGTAGTATCAGAGACGAAAAATTAAATGCGAATAGAAATATGTTGTTTTTTTGTTTTTTTAAAATGTATTATTGATAACGGATACAAACCTTTGAAGTGTGTAGTCGCAACGCTAAGGTTGATTTTTTCGGGGGTGGGGGATTTTTTTGTGGTGGGTAAATGAGAGCAGTTTCGTTTTGGAGGCATTGAAGTTTACAAACGATTTCCTGCCCTAGGCAACCACAGATTGGAGGTCCTTTTCAAAACCGGCGGCCAGGTTATTTTTGTCAACGATACCAGATTTACTATCGAGGCAGGCGTAAATATTAGTGTTTTCCGCGCAGATGCCTACTTGGGAACTGGTGACATTGGGTATGTCGTTAATGAAGATCAACAACAGTGTAGGACCCAAGTAGAGCCTTGGAGAACAACAGCGTTCGTGATAAAGTAACTGGGGGATAACGACCTTAAATGTTTTGACAGGAATGATTGCATTAAGTCAAATAATCGTCCTGTAATGCCGTATCTCTGAAGAAGAAGGCCAGCATGCCAAACGCTATCAAACGCTTTAGAGATATCTAGAGCCACGGGTTGAGCTTCCCCGTTATTATGGAGTGCTTGGTATAGAAATTCAGTTATGGCCGTGAGTATATCAGCAGTAGATCGGGCAAGGCGGAAACCATATTGCTTGTCGGAGAGACGATTATGAGAAGTAAGATGCTTAACCACTTCGGCACTAATTAAAGCCTCGATGACTTTACCGATTTGTGGTAAAAGACGGATAGGACAATAATTAAATGGGTCAGAAGGGTCTCCAGAGTTCTTAAAGACAGGCACAGCATATGGGGTCCTCCAACAGGATGGAAAACAAGGGTCGGCGAAGCAGTAGTCGTATAGTTTGAAGACGACAGGAGCCATTTCAGGAGCATATTTCGTCAGGATAATGGCCGGTATCCCGTCCCCACATCTAGCCATATGGGAATGTAATTTAGAGGTGATGTCCGATAACATAGTTGGGGTTATGTGCATCTCACTCAGTAGACCCTCAGTTCCAAAGAGGTGGGGGTGATCGGGTTTGGGTACACCAGAGGAGACGAGCGTTGTATTGGATGAGAAGCATTCAGCCTTGTCAGCTGAGGAAGTCAGGACCTCAGTTTGTTTGAATAATGGAGGTATTGGTGGACTGGTGTTGTTCAGCACGCTCTTGCAGAACTGCCAATAATCTTTAGAACAAAACTTGTGGAAAGCAATACATTGTTTTATTCTTTCGGCAAAAAGTAAATTGCTTCATTGAGGACGGGCTTACAGTCATTACGGGCAGTGACAAAGAGACTTTTGTTACAATCAGACATGTCACTACGGTACAGATAAAAGTAGTGATTCCTGTGGGCAATAGCAGCTGAACAAGCAGTTGAGAACCAAAGGGAAGAACGCGATTTCATTTTATATTTTCTTGCTGGTAATATGTATGTATACGTGTGTTTTTGTCTATATATATATATATATATATATATATATATATATATATATATATATATATATACACTAGTAATAATATTATACATACATGAAATTATGCTCGCTCAGAAAACCTTTGGTGTCTTGATTTGCAAATAACCAAACCAATACCAAAGGGGAAAAAGGTACAAAAAAAAAAAAAAATGAAAGAAAAAAGAACATGTACGTCAGCCGAAAACAATCGTCTAGCATCCAAGTCCAGGGCCCAAAGAAAACAACCCCGATACGAGTAAGTAAAATAGCTAAATGAAGTGATCAATACGCTAAGTAGAGCAAATCTAATTAAACCTAAAGAGCCAGACAATAGTTTTGTCTGGCTCTTTAAGTTTAATTATATATATTTATATAAGTGAAAATTGAAGTCAAGACCCAGCTGTGAGAGTCTGTTTCATGCTTATACAGAATTGGAAGGCCTTATGGTTGCGTATAAGAATGAAAGAGAATATCGCCGGTGGATGTTGCCTTCATGAACACTTCTCTATCTTTATAAATATATATATATGTGTGTGTGTGTATGTGTGTGTGTGTGTGTGCGTGTGTGTGTGTGTGTTTGAGAAAACTAGTATGGTTGATTTAATTTATTTAAGTGTTGATGTTTCCTTACTTCATGTGAGCATTTTAAAAATACAAATGAGAACTTTACGGAAAACGCTTAAGTAAATTATGATTCTATGAGAGTTCAAATAAGCTGGGATGAACATTACTTTGAACAATGGGAGTTCCCTAAAACATTTAGACGGTGGTGTGGCTTTCAAGCACGGTAGGATCGATCACCCAGGCAGATGTCATTTAGAAATCCACTACTTGAAAATCGATGAGAGTGAGCACATCGGCCACAAAACACAAATTTCCTAATGACTAGGCCACGGACATACACACGCATATATATATATATATATATATATATATATATATATATATATATAAGGTGTCCCCTAAAAATTGACATAATTTAAAATGTGAATATCTGTGTAAGTATATGTCCCAAACAAACGAAATTGAATAGGCTTCATGTTGAATAATATACGATTTATCTATCATAAGTTCGAATAAAGAGGTGTAGATTTTATAAGCGATTCAACAAAGTTTCACAAATGTTCAATATACTCGCCACCTGTGACACGGCACATGTCAAGTCAGTTGTGAATCTCCTGCCAAACATGCTGTAGCACGTCTTGCGTAACATTCTTCAACGCCTC